GGAACAAGGAGCGGTGTGTATACGAGGATTGGAGTGGGAGATCATATCTCAACCAGGAATGGAACGGAGGAGTGGAAGTGTATACGTGGAGAGGAGTGGGAGAACATGTCTCGACCAGGAATGGAACGGAGGAGCGGTGTGTAATAAGGGTACTTTATGTTTTACGTAAGGGTACAGGGTACGGATTGTAGAAAGTGAAGGGAGGAAAAATATTGAGGCGGGGGGAGGAAGGAAGGAGTGAGGGGAGGCTTTGACCCCCAAATTCTGGGTGGAAGGAGGTAACAGCAGGTCTGGCAGGCTGGTACTGCCTATGCAGAGTGTTCTGGAAGATGGCTTGGTTACCTGGCAATGCATGACATCATACTGCGCTTGGTTCTGGAAGATGGCTTGGTTACCTGGCAATGCATGACATCATGCTGCGCTTGTGTGCTCCCTTGCATGCATATTATGTGACAAGGTCTGGAGTTAAGTGTTCCTAGCACAGCATAAGCTGCGCTATTTGTTTGGAGGCTGCGCGCAAAGGCTGTGCAGGTGAGATCCCCTGCAGCAATATTCCCTCACAAGAAGTCCCCTGCAGCAGAAATCCCTCACTCTTCAATATAAAAGAAGGACCTCTCCCCACCAGAAAGTCCCTTCTCCCCATCAGCCTACAGAAGTCTTGCAGAGCAGTAAGTTGGTCCTGAGCTACTGGAAGTGTTCCAGAGTGTCAGTAAAGTGAAGAGTTAGAATTAGTGATAGTTAGTTAGTTAGTGAAGTTAGTACATCAACCTACGGAAGTAAGTTCGATCACCCAAGTTGAAGAATAAGTTAGTAAGTGAGTTAGTTAGTGATAAGTAGTGAGTTAGTACAGTATTGTAAGCGTGAAACCAACACAGAGTTCATAATTTGAAGCATATTAGTAGTAGTAGTCATCATATAAGTAGTAGTACATTAAAACTAACCAATAACAAGTAGTAGTAGTATTAGTACCGGAGCTCTAGTTTTGATTAAAGTGCCTTAGCAAGAAATTGTTCGAGGAAGAGATCATTAACAAACTCTATAACAACTCATCTGTTTTGTGCTCAAGTCATCAGCACCACAGTTTCCATTATTAACCTGAAGCTGTAACAGATTCATTAGTAGATTGATACATGATCTAGGTCTGATGGAGATTACTTTACGAAAGTATAATCTATCTTGGAATCAGCCATACATTAATAAATATTGATTACAAGACTCTTAGTAATTTTTTAGTACATTTAGAGGGGCAGGTCTTTCAAACCACCCATAAGTTGTAATAGCCTTTCAACCTACTTGCAATTTATTTCCCCCTCAAGGGATCTTTTGATATACATATATTTTACCTTGTCTATCCGTCCCAGGATTCCTACAACGTACTCAACCACACCTCCATACAGCTTTGAATACAATCTTCAAAGCAAATTATACTTGAGCACAACCCCATACCTCAACACCCAGTGCTCTCAAAAATAAAAAAGCAAAAAGAGGCCAAAAAGAAATCAAATAAAACAAATCAATCAGCTCTCACTTCCTTAAATTGTACTCATCATCCATCCATTGTAAAATTGCTTCCAAATTGTTGGAAATTGGGTATTGGATTGGATGATGTGTGATGATTACAAGTGTGGCAGAAGAGGGATTGGATAGTGGGTTACAAAGTGCCAGTCCACAATTCGAGCTGAGCCGCAACCCCACTGAAATGTGTTCACAGACTGGGGAACGCATGTCAAATGCCCCTCAGACCGCTATAGATGCTCTAAGAGTGAGAACACTGATGTTTCACGGAGATTCTGACAGTGAAAAATATGTGCTGTGTAAACCTAACTTCCCAAAGATCCTCTGAAGAAACTTCTGGCCAACTGTTTGTACAAAGAAAAGACCAAAAAGATGGAATACTTTTCACACCTGCATGTATTTGTTACTGATTAGGGCCATTCAAAGCTGATGCATAAATACATAAACAAATCAATTTACTAGAGATGGCCCCGCGCCATCCGGATATCCCCTCCGTTTTTCAGCAGAATGGGGCATCCGCATCCGCACCAGCTGGGGGTTATCCATTGGCCTAAGCAGGTATCCACGGATACCCGCCCTCTAAATGGGCAGCAATGCAGCCGGCTGGAAGGAAACCCTTCCAGCTGGCCATCTCTGTTGAAGTGTCAAACTCAGACACTGCTTGTTACACATTGCTAACACATCCATGTGAGACTTCTAATCAGAATTGGAGGCAATTCTTCATGATCCACGTCATCATTACATTCCACAAGCATACATCACCAATGTATTCAACATCAGCAATGCGTACTTAGCTCAATGGTCAGAGCATCACTCATGAATGCTGAGGTTGTGGGTTTGAGTCCCACAGCACACAACCTTTCTTTTCACTCGTTCAATGATCTTGTCCTCTTGGCCTTGGGTACCCTTGGGGATACCCAGATATCTGTCAGGATTTTGGGGAAAAGGGGCCATTAACACCCAAATCCACACCCACTGGCGGGTATCCGTTGGGGCCAGCGGGTATCCGCCAGCGGATAATGGGTATCCGCAATGGATACCCTTCAACCATCTCTATTGATTACTGCTATGAATCAAGGAAGATCTTAGGTGTATGCAACCTTACCATTTCATGCATTGCTATCAGATAAATACAAATTTAGTGTAGAAATCAAATCAAATTGTATGATTTACCCTTCCAGGTTGTTGCCTTCAGTGGTTTATTTTTAAATAATGTTTTGGTCAAATTCAGTCTCAAGAAATAGATCTACCATGTATATTTTAATTTGAAATTATTTGGAGATAAAATATGTATGCTTTTAACAGAAAAACTTGAGTTGCATACTTACAACTTTAAACTAGATGACCATTCACTTGCTTATTTATCTTATATGACTCTTGTACAATATTACAGTTTCCTAAGTTACGTAGATGTTGGGGAAATGATCTTCAAGTGACTACACAATTGATTAGAAAGGGTGGATAGAAATCTGCAGGATCTTGAAAGAGAAGAAAAAAATGTGACTTCAACAGTAATCCAGACTTTTTCTGAAAGCAGTACCTTATAAATCATTGAAATAGCCTTTCCCCTCTGACAAACCGTGAGGTCTGGTTGTAAAGTGAAATCATGAAAGATTGCTTTTTGCGCACTCAAGCTCGTGACGTTGAAGATAACCTGCGTATGTATAATGCCTCTTGCAATATCTACATTCAAGAGTCAGAGCCCCTTAAATGAACCAAAAAGATAGGTTAAGTTAACCATTTGTCTGTGAATTTAAAGAGCCTGTCTTACCAAGTCTATGTGTGCACATCATCGACCTGTGTTTCAAATAGCTCGCTTCGCTCTTGCACTTCCGATTACCTGCCACAAGTCCGTCATTTCCAGAATGCGAAATATTTTAACAAAAAGTGGATCTAACAACAATAGTGTAGACTCAAAAGGATAAATTAAATTACAGTCACGACACCTGGAGCATAAGCAAACAAGGGTTCAGTAATTCTACTCTCATGCGAGAAAAGCTTCAGTGAAACAACGACATTTCAAATTTACCTGTAGAGCTCTCCTTCATCGGGTTCACCTTCCTCAAATTGATTGGCATTCGAGGAGCTTTCGGTGAGACTAGATCTAACGTTGGTAGCTGGGTGTGCAGTAACATTAAATTATCTGTGCAGTCTGGGCACTCGCAAAAGCTTTAACAAAGATTTAGGACTCACAACTTTCGGTTTGACGAGTATTATGCCAAAATCTTTCCTCTCCATGATTGGGTCTATCCTCTCTAGTGGAACTACCTGCATAGGGGGTATAAGCTTTTGGAGCTGCGCCAGCCATGAAGGGCGACTGTCCATGTGCATCTGAATGACCTGCAACTGGTTGAAATGATTGTTGTGAATGGGACCCGCTGGAATGGCGAAAATGGCTTCCATACGCTTGGGAGTCTGTTGCAATGGCGGAGTTCAATCATTAGTCCTATCACCAAAAATCAATCACAGGCCGATTCATCTGCGAAATAACTCAGACTGACCTTGATTCCGTAAAGTAGAAACTCCATCGGATAGTATGCCTCCCGCAGAGCTTCCTGTATGAGAAGGAGCTATGTATGTAAAGCCATTGGATATGTCGTCGGACCTAGCAAAAAATTTCCGCAGCATTTTTTCTGTGGTTGGACTGGATTCCTTCCCTGGTTTGTGTTGATGAAGAGAAGGACATGTGCTGAATCGTGATTGATTTTGGCTCCTACTGAAATCAACGTGAGGCGGCAATTGGATCGATGGAAGCCGCAAAGGTTGTGTGGATTCAGATGGGCCTTTATGGTAGCGTGTGAGATGAATGTTGGCCGTTTGAAATGGAGACAACGAATGATCAATTGGTTTCGGAGTCAACCGGAACATCAGCGTCTGAAAACTTCAAGGGCAGTGGATGTGGCATCCAACGTGCACCCATAGCAAAAGGATCACACTCACGTCTGTTAAATTGCGGTATTGCTCTTCCCCCATCTTGGCTGGAGCCAGAAATGAAACCCTCTTGGTTCTGTCCAGATTGGCCTTTGGTAGACGACGTTCAGAAAAAGAGATTGTCAAAACACAGAATTGGTCATGGATTGTAAGGATACTACTCGCCAGAATGGTTTTCCTCCAACTGTCTGGGCTCAGAGTTCGTGTCCACATTGTAGCCAAAGCTCATGACGGATTTGAATATTAGGGGATGATCTACAGAATGACGGTACACAATACGGGATTCCTAACAGGAGAAGAGTGGAATGTGCTGGAGTGATTATCAAATTGTCAGGCGAAAGGGAACAAAAGACCATAGTTTTCTCTCCAGGATGAAGTTGGCTGTTATAATGTAATTATTCCACGATGCACAACTAATCTAAATAGATATATTTTGCAATAGTATGGCAGCAAGACTTCCGTTTCAAATTTCCCGAGGGGTGGACCACTATCAGCCTAACAAGTGCTAGCAAAAGTAGACAGCTGAGTGCGCTTGTTTAAAGGGTTTGACATGCCGAATGGCCACGGGTACATATGACACATGTCAGCAGGCGGAGTCTGCGAGCGTGTAAGAGCGTGTACCGTTGACCGAAGCTGGATATCGCACAACATGTTTTTAATGCAATTGCGACTGTGCCCTCTTTGCCCATCGAAAAAACTCAACCTACAATATGACTCAACTCAAGCCGTAGACCTCGGGTTTAGAACCTAGATTTATGATTTATCCGCGATTTGCATGATACTCAGGTCCAGAGTCTACACTTGTGGCGATCAAAACATGATTCAAGATGGAAGCCACATATGACCGCTTTTTAAATTAACGGGAAGTCCTCCAATATGTAGGATTTTCATGACTTCATTTCAGGAATTACTATATACAAACATATTACACTCGGGGTTCACTGCTGGCTGACGTGCAAAGCTCAAGAAATGAAAACACCTTGTTTAGAGTTGTCTTCAATCTGTTTTGCCTGCATGAGAAGGTGTACTCTTGAACTCGCAAGCTGTATACAGCTTTTAGAAAGTCAAACAGAAATGTTTGTCTATTCACAAATATCCGCAAAGTGATACAAATCTCGGCGTACATGTCACGTTTTTCCATCGATAGACACTACCTGCGATTGATCAATTTTTCGTCTGCGGTGCTGCAATAGTGAGCAATCTGATTATCAATATGGCAGCTTCACATATTCAATATCAATCAACTGTTGGCATCCACCGGAGTCCGTTATGTGGGGGCCTGTAGTTGCATCAGTAGTTGATGTTGTACATCACTGAGGACTAGACTTTTTCCAGGAATCCAGAGGCATATAATTTTTGTATGTATACGCGCGGCACGCCGTAATCCACTCTGATGCACTATCGTGACGACAACATCGTGTGGATAGATTGATCAGGTACGCACCATGCATACAATTTGTGTCACACATTTTGTATCCGCAACAAAATTAAAGCAAATCACGGAAATGATCGGGCAGACTCCGACGCTGCGTCTCGTGATCGGCATATGCAGTCACAGTGCGAGGTAGCGGGCGGGACAGGCCATCAGCGATTCAGCCATCAGGCCATCAGACAAGACACTGTCTGTCAGAGTTTGCTCATATCTGCTCTATATGTGCTGAGCGTTGATAATCCTTCGGGATGGACACAGACAGATTATGGCAAATTCTATATGAATAGATAACATAGGGTAACATATTGCCGACATTAAAGCATACTGATACGAAACATTTTGGGTTGGCGAGTGCTGGGCTTTTGTCCCAGCGCATAGGTTGGCATGTTGGAACTTGGCACTGGCTGGCAAGCTCTGGTAGATATGTATGTGTGCCCAGGCCCCAGGTACCTGCGATCCAGGAGTATACCACGCGGGTGGTTTCTCCTGAGGGGGAAACACGCAAAGAAGCCAATTAACTTCCGATCCGAACTTCTGAAGCGAAACTTGCACCATGAAGGACGAAGGCATTTGACATTTGCTGTGCCTGTACTCTCAACCTCTCGTTGTATGTCCCTGACCCCTACGCAAACCGCAGGAATTCGTATGAGCACCATATTCTGTCATTCGGAATCGCCGGGCGGCGGACCCGCAGTTCCTGCATATGACGATCGAAATGAAAACAGGAGCAAATCGTAAACATTGGCAATGTATTTATTTAGGAATCTGAGGTCCCTAATTTCTGGTATCCATTTTTTACGCGTCTTTAAATTTAATGTGCATTTTCATGTTATTCATTTATAGGTTTTTGAGGGCAGTGATATATATATATCTCAATTGTGTAATGATTCAAGTTGAAGCAACCACGTCCCACAAAGGGATCCGTGTAGATCTAAATACTTGTTTCGCTGTCTGCTGAAAATACATCTATGATTGTTGGACTGGAGATGCCACTCTTTAGCATTAGGTTTTCCGGCTGAGAAGCTCCAAGCCTGGGTTGCCGAGAAAAAGTTCCTCGGAGGTTTGTAAGTGATTATCTAGCGATCGAAACCTTTCAGTCGCGTGGAGGGAGTATGCAAAGAGTAAAACTGACCGAAAGAGCTTGTCTCATGACCAGGAAGAGAAGCTCACACAAAGCCCAGGAGACACATAAGATTCAAACGTAGATCCCGAGAATTCACTTGACAATATATCAAAGAAAGCCGTTCAAACAGACCGCCCCTCACCCTCATTCTCCCTGAAGGTTGTGGAACAGAAAAACAGTTGTGTTCCAGAAATGAGACTTCAGCAGCTCAAGTTAGATGCAGAAACCCAGGTGTGAATGCGCGAGGTGTCCATTTGATTGGGCTTAGCGCACTATGTTAGCAGGCGTCGTACTACCAATGTATGTAAAATATTATGAGAAAGATTATCATGAGATAGTAATAGAAAGTGGATTCGAGGGAGTTTGCACACAGAACGAAAGGCCGTACAAGAAATGCGATAGCGAGCTGTGAGAAGCCGCATCAAGATTTGTAAAGGACAGAGTGGGTATACCTCACAGGAAAGAAGATGCCATGGCCAGGCTCTCCAGAATTCAGATGGGAACTAGAGGAAGATCGGTCTTTATTAGGCAATGAACAAATCCGGATTCCACAAAAAGACGGGTCTTTGCTAGCTTGGCGATTGACTTGGAAAAAAAAAAGAGCGCGAGGAACAACTCAGTGAGTGCCACCTCGTGTCCAAGGTTTGGTTTATTTTGGCTTACCATGCGTATTTTTTCTTCTCATTCTTTTGAGCTTGAAAGAAAAACTTTTGATAGCTAGTTCGCCTCCCTCCTTCTTTCATTCCCAGTTCTCCTGTTAGGGTGTGATAAGTGTATCCAACTTGTCCTACGCGTTTTGCGGTTACTGAAGCCGCTTTCACAACCCTGAGCAGCAGCACGCCACTGATGGCCTGATAGGAATACTCAACTGGCAACATGAACTGGTCGCTTGGGCACCGCACCTGCCCAGTATTAGTAACTCCCTTTAGGCCAGCCCTTCTGTTGAATTTTCCTCAGTCTGTCTCTCTCTGCCCTTCATCTCTTTCTACTCACCTCAAAACCAGACTAGATTAATACAGAGGCTTGGCTAGTCGACTCCCAAAGGTTGGAGAGCCGACTCCCAAACCCCCAAAACCCCCGAATTTGGGAGTCGATCCCCCAAACCTGTCAGCAGGTTTGGGAGTCGGATCCCCAACAAATTAAAATACAAAAAAACTGAAACCCCCAAAGGGGGAGGGAGTTGATGCCTCAAAACCCACTGGGTTTTGGGGGTTGTCAACCCAAAAACAGCCCCCAACGGCCGGGAGGAGATCCTCCCGGCCATTGAGAGCACACTCTCACGGAGGGAGTACACTCTCAACGGACAAGAGTGCATACCTCTCGGCCGTTGAGAGTGTACACTCTCATCGGCCAATAGGCTTTAACTTGGCCATTGAGAGTGTTACACCCTCAACGGTCAAGAGAAAGCCTGCCGAGAGGCTTTCTCTCAGTGGTTGAGCGTGCACACCTCAATGACCGAGAGGACTTCACCCTTGGCCATTGAGTTGTGCACCCTCAACAGGCAAGAGAACACTCTTTTTGTATGAAAGGCACACCTCTATCCGCGGGAAGGGCGCTATCACTTACACTCTCCCACATTGTGGAGAACACAAACAGGCTGGGGAAATATCAGCGGCCGACAATGTAGCTGTTCGACGTCCATGAGGGAAGAGCACTCCAGTGAGAAAACGCAATCTCAACGGC